TTTCCCTAGCCTGGGCTACCCCATTGGCCCCTGTGGCCACAAGCCACTTTGCTATCCCCACCTAGCCATCCCTGCTTGCTTGGGTCTGCATAAGGTTCCCAAAGTAACCAAAGGCTCTAAGGCAGTGTCAGTGCCTCTCAGAAGAAAAACAATAAATGCTGTCCATCAAGGGTGCAGCATGCTCCTTAGCAGAGAGCCAGTTCCAGGTGAGGAAGTTGGATGGGTGAGTCTGAAAATGGGGGTTCTAGCCTCTTCTCCAATATTCTGTTCTCGGGCAAGTCACCACCCCTCTCCAGACCTCAGTTTATCCAGTGGGATAAGGGTTGAACTAGATAGTCCCTAAAAGTCTCTCCAGCTCTGGCACTCTGTACTTGAGCCTTCAGAAACCAGATAACTCAGAAATCAGAAGGAAGAGGTCTCAGAGTATTACAGAGCAAGGTGACAGAGGAGACAAGGGCTGAGCCACCCATGCTGCTCATCAGTCAGATTGCCTGTAAGACCAGTACATCAGGATGCTCAATCCTTGGTCCCCAGGTTCAGTGGTCTGACAAGAGGGCTAGATACTGTCATGTTGAGGGTCTTAGATAGACAGGCCTCATTGGGGGACCAGGGAAAATCTGGGGACAGGAGGACAGAAAGAACCTGACCTCCAAACACTACAGCAAATAAGAGGACCAGGAAGAGGGCCACCCACCTTATGCTTACTTGCATGTCCTACCCACATGACCCACCCTCTCCTTACCTGCCATGATGGCACCAGCTGGCCCAGCAGCCTGCCCTCAGCTTTGTCCTGAACTGGAATGAAAGAAAAGCCAGAGAAAGATGAGGATCATGACCCAGCCCAGCCAGGTCCCTCTCCCAGCCCTGGCTGAGCTGGAAGGTCCCTGGGGCAGGACTCTGCTCCCACCATGGGACGAACCACGGAGGTAGCTCCTACCTCACAGAGTCACCACTCCATAGCTACCTCCTTCCAGGTGCTCCCGGGCTTTGTCTCAAGGCACAAAGTCCGTCCACAGCAAACCCCATCTAAGGGTATGAAAGAAACCTGGGAGGGAACCCCATGCAGGGAAAGGCAAATGATAGAGAAGCCCTGAAGGGACCAGAGACATCAAAGAAGAAATTCTGTTCCTTGACTCTTAACAAGGCAGACTCCTGGCCTCAGTCATAGGCTGGGCTCCGACCTCTCCAGCCTTTGCCTTTGGTCATTTGTTCACTAATTGGAGATTTATAATCTACCAGGCACTGGGGAGACAGCATGAGTAAGACAGATGTGGTCCCTGCCCTCTGCATGAAACAGTCAATAACCTCTGCAGTTAGTATAAAAGGAAAGGATTGCTGCTATGAAAATATACATAGCATATATAAAGGTGATCTAACTTGGTCTGGAGAGTCATGGAAATTAAATGTAAACAGTAAGGGGAGACCTGGAGAACAGAGAGGAGTTGGTTGGGGCAGGGTAGCCTTCTGGGAAGAGAAGAAAGCTCACAGAGACCCTGATGCAGGAAGGAAACTCACACTTTTAAGGGAAAGAAAACCACTGTGGCCAAAGCAGAGTATAAATGAGGAAGCAGCAGAAGTGAGGCTAGAAAGGGAAGATGCACAGGACTGATGCTTGGGGCCCTTAGGAGAAAGTTTGAAGGGAACCTGAGGTAGATTTGGAAATGGAGGAGGAAGGCAATCAAGAAGAATTCCTGCCAGCTTAAACACTGGGAAATGGGGGCTGTTAATGGAGAGCCTCATCATAGGAGGCACCCATGAGAAGAGGCACAGGGTCTCTGGGAGGACAAGAAGCTGCGTTACTGGCATACCAAGTCTCAGGTGCCCTGAGACCCCCAGACCAGGCTACCTTGTAGGCAATAAAGATATTTTGGTTGGGAGTTCAGGAGGGGGCCTGCAATGAGACAAACATTAAGTGAGTTAAGGCCAAGGAATTAAATGAGCAATCATTTTGCTAGTACAGTAACTCTGGTGGAGATATATAGATATAAATGTGTGTGTATATATATACACATACACATACATACACACACACAATCAAAATTAGAAAATGGTCTAAGCTCTAAGTCAATGCAACAATTAAAAGTTGGGTAGAGATGTCTATAAAGTTTAAAAACAAGCAAAACAAATCTATGGTGTCAGAAGTCAGGACGGTATTACTCTTGAGGGAGCACAAGTTGGGGTGCTGGTAATGGTCTGTTCCTGAATCTGGATGCTGGTTACACAGAGTTGTTGGTTTTGTGAAAATTCATCAAGCTTACAATTACAATTTGTGCACTTTCCTATTTGTTATACTTCAACTAAAGTTTGCTTTTAAAAAAGAAAAACAAACCATCTTAGAGTTCCAGTCATATTCCTTTGGATCCAGTTACAAGTTTGGGCAATTATTATCTTTTGTGTTCCCTTTTTGATATGAAATCAAATACAGATATAAAAATACAAAACATCTACCACAAAAGGAAAAATGGCAGGCATGATAGAGACCTACATGATATAATACCCTTACACAGTTGCATTAATTGTAGCATTGTTTCCAATGCTAAAAGATTAGAAACAATCTACATGCCTATCAATAGAGGACTGATTAAATAAATGATACAGTCATACAACAGACTGTTCTGCAGCTATTTAAAAATACATTGATATGGAAAGATCTCCACAATTACTAGTCATTGAAAAAAACACAAGATGTAGAACAGTCTATATAACATGCTACCTTTGGTATTTTTAAAAAAGAAGAGAGAATAAAAATATTTTTTCCTTTTGACCCAATAATCCTATTTCTGTTTATTTACCCAGAAATAGGAAACAACAAATATGCATTATTCAAAATGACACAATTTTGCAATGGTGCATCATTCAATGTAATACTACACAGATGTAAAAAAGATTGAAAATGATTTCTATGAACTGGTATGGAATGATTTCCAGGAGACACTGTCAAGTAAAAAACAAAATACAGACAAGTATAAATAGTATGCTACCTTTTATGAAGGAAGAAGGGGAAATAAGAACATGCATATAAATTTGCTTATTTTTGCAAAAGAAACATAGAAAGAGAAAACCAGAAACTAATGAATTGGTCATTTACATGATGGAAGGGCTAAGATGAGTAGTGAGACTGCTTTGGGTAAAGATTTTTCCATACTTTTGTACATACAATGTCTTATATTCAAAAACATATTCAAAAACTTACACCAGAAAGAAAAGTAAACCCTAAAATTGAAAAAACAAAAAAAAAGAAACTAACTGTAGAGCAAATTAATAACACTACCACATTGGAAAAAGAACTGGCCAAGTAACTTATAGTACTCTGTGTTCTCTTAGAGGAATATATTTCAAGGACAAGAATAAATGGAAAAATATCTTATATATTAGCAAGTTTACTGTTACACTTGGTACCAATGTGGTGATTTTGAAACTTTGTAATGTGTACTGTAGGAGAAAGCATATGAGTCAATGTACTAATGTTGTTGGGAACCTGGGTTCTCACTGTTAGAATGTGAAAATAGGATACGAAATATGGGAAAGTGAAAAAGAGCCCAGCAATACTGGATTACTGGATTTGAATTGGAGGTATCAGTATGAACTCATGACTTTAAAAAAAAAAATACATATATATGTGTATATATATGGCTGGTCCCAAGCCAAAGAAATACAAGGTTAGTCTAGAACATCTTGTGGAGCCAGAAACGAGCAGATATTCAACTTATGGGGACATGTCAACAGCCAAACTTGGGACAATTAAGAATATCATGAACAATAATAACAATAATATAACATAATAAATTTTAAAAAATAATTCACGAGTCCAGCATGACACTCTTATTTTTAAAACAAGAGCAAAGAAGGAAGAAAGAAAGCTCTTCTTTGCAGAAGAATGCTAGCTATAAATGTAGAAGAAGTTATAGAATCAGAAAAATTTCTCAATTTTGTAGTCACTAAGGAAATAGTTGAGTCAGGCAAGGATCATCAATAGATGCTAAACCTTTCACTGGGCAAAAGATCATTTAGGAGAAAGAGAGTCATAGTATCTCAAAGTACCAGCCCAAAGATGACTTAATTATAAAAGGAAACAAGAACTTTTACTGTAAAGAAACATGGCAGACACCACCTTAACCAGATGATCAAACTTAACCTCACCAGTAATGGGACAAATGGATGCTACGGCCTCCCTATGTGATGCATTGAGAGGAGGCACATCATCACCTATGCAGTATTCCTGCCCCAAAATGTTTAACCTGAATCTAATCATGAGAAACAATTGGAAAAACCTAAACTCGCCTAGACTTTTTTAGAAATGCCAACATCCTAAAAGAAAAAAAAAAATTAAAGAGATATGGGATTCTCTGAACTAATGGCAACTAAAGATATATGGCAACAAAAACCAATGCGTAAACCTCAATTGGACCCATACCGAAGGACATCAGTGAAATAACAAACACTTGCATATAGACTCTAAACTAGGTAATATTATTGTATCGATGATACATTTCTAGGGTGCAATAATGGTACCGAGGTAATGTATGAGAATGTCTTCATTCTTAGGAAATATGTACTCAAGTGCTTAGAGGTAAAGTGTCATGATGTCTGAAACTTGCTTCAAATATTTCATAAAATAAGAAATGATGGAGGGATAGATATAGACAGAATCAAAGCAAATGTGGCAAATGTTAACAATTGCTGAGTCTGGATGAAACTAAATAAGTGTCCTTTGTACTATTCCTTAGAGTGAAAGTTTTCAAAATAAAAAGTTGAAGAAAAATATAAATGTTAGTCATGGATTATAACACATTGAATAAAAAGAACACACAAGTCCATGATGATGCACAAAAGAAAAGGAGAGGGGAAAGGGAAAGTTCTCATAATAGAAAGAATGACAGAATTCTTTTAAATTGCCATTTGCAATCCCTGTGCAAGAACTGATACAAGCAAGGAACATCAACGGCTGCTAACCCATTGGGTGAAAGGTGGTTAGGGAAGAGGAGAGTCACAGTCTGAGTGCCAACCCCCAGATTACTTATTAATCACAACAGAGAAAAAGTACTTTGATAATGAGAGGACCTGGCAGACCAAGTGACCAAACTTCTGATAATGGGACAAAAGGACATTTCTGATAATGGGACAAAAGGACATTATATACCTCCTAACATGATACACATAGGACACAAGACTATCTACACAGCATTGTTACTAAAATGTTTAATGTTAAAATAATTATGAAAAACAATCTGACAAAATGAGATTGTGGAAAATTCTCCAAGACGAATGTCATGAAAGACAAAAATTGCTAGGGGGACTAATCTAAATTAAAGGAGACTTAAGAGACATGCAACCAAATGCAGTAAGTGATTCTTTAGTGAATCCTGGATTTTTAAATCACAGCTATAAAAGACATTTTAGGACAAGTAGAGAAATTTGAATATAAACCGCATAGTAAATATCATTGTTCAATGTTAAATTTCTTAGGTGTTGTGGCTACAGAGGAGAATATCTTGTTCTAGGAGATACATACTCAAGTATTTAGAGGTACAGTGTAGTGTCTGCAACTTACTTTCAAACAGTTCTGCAAAAAATTAGATAGATCCATGATATATAAAGCAAATGTCGCAAAATAGTAACAACTGGAGAATCTAGGTGAAGTACCTTAAAGTGTTCTTTGCAGTGTTCTTTAAACTTTTCTGCAGCTTTGAAATTTTTCAAAATAAAAAATTGGGAGAAAAATATATATGTGTATTTGGTAATATACACACAAAGAATCCCTAGTAGGATATCAAGGATAAAATAATAGTTGTGGC